TCACCTGAGCACAGCAGGTCGAGGCTGTGGTGGCCATGAGGGTGCCACTGCACTCCAGCCTGGGTGACAGAGTGAGACTCAAAAAAAAAAAAAATGTGGTGAGATTAAAAGTACTGCCTCTGGAGTAAGGTTGGATTTAGGACCTGACCCTATACCAGCTAGGTGTGTGCAAGTGGGAACTCATTCAGAATCTTCCATGAACTTAAACACACATAGTCAGTGCATTATTTAAAAGGCCCCATCTTTACATTGTCTGTTCGCTGTCAACAGGCAAACCCCATTTTGGCCTGCTTGTAGGGTTTGGAATTCCTAACAGTCCAGAAAGGATGATTTTAGTTGTAGTAGCGGGCTATAAAAAAGAAATCACTGAGCCGTTCCATCCCAAAAGGCTGGATAAGCAACACAGTGCTAAAAAATTACTTGTTTTGGGGAGACACTGGTTACTCTTAAATCAGGGTATAATAACTTACACAAGGAAACCAGTTTCCCAAGAGGCATGTGACTGTTTAAAGGGATATATTTAGCAAGGCTCAGGGGGTATTGAGTGAGTGCTAACGTGGGAATTCCAGTTTAGGAGACAACTGTTCAAGCCATTTAAGGTAGAAAGCAGGGCAGAAATAAGGTTCTTATTTTTTCTTGGAATGCATCGTTTTTTCTAAAGTGTGAAATTAGCCCCTGAAAGAAATCCAGTCTGTTTCATTACTGTAATATTCTTTCCCGATTCACCAAATTCTCTACAAAGGGCTTTTGAGTGAAAGTTGAATGTTTTTCCAAAGAGCCAGCTGTTGCTAACCAAGAGCTTTTTTGCTTTCTCTTTTAATGTAAGCAGCAAAAACTGCCTGGGATACTTTATTTACATACTAATTTTGCTGTAATCCCACCACCTTGGGAGTTTGTGGCGGGAGGATTGCTTGAGTTCAGGACCAGCCTGGGCAAGACAGCAAGATCCTGTCTCTTCAAAAATAAAATTAGCCAGTGTGGTGGTGCACGCCTGTAGTTCCAGCTACTCAAGAGGATCATTTGAGCCCAGGAGGTCAAGGCTGCAGTGAGCTATGATCACGTCATTGCATGCAGCCTGGGTGACAGAGCGAGAGTGAGACTCTCCCAAAATGAGAAAAACACTTTGATGCTGAGGTCAATGGAGTTTAAAAAAAAAAAAAGGTGGCCGGGCGTGATGGCTCATGTCTGTAATCCCAGCACTTTGGGAGGCCCAGGCGGAAGGACTGCCTGAGCTCAGGGGTTTGAGACCAGCCTGAGCAAACTGGAGAGACCTTGTCTCTACAATAAAAAAATTAGCTGGGCATGGTGGTATGCACCTGTAGTTCCAGCTACTTGGAAGGTTGAGGCGGAAGGATCACCCGAGTCCAGCAGGTCGAGGCTGCAGTGGCTAGGAGCATGCCCTGCACTCCTGCCTGGGCGACAGAGTGAGACTCCAACTCAAAAAAAAAAGTTTCCCACTAGGCATGCCAAACCCGATTCCTGGCTAGCGTGATTTACTGTCCCCACACACGGCCCCACTCACTTGGAGCCTGTGGTGCCCCCACCCCAACCCCCGGACCCCAACTCCAACGCAACCTTGTCCCTGTTTCGACCTGTTCTCTGTGCTCCCTCCCAGCTGGCCGCGAAATCTTCCTCACGTCAGTCTTGCACTTGCCGTACACCTTGGCGATCACCGATCCCTTGAAGGAGGAACCCGCCAGCTTTCAGAGGGGCCTCCAGCTGCTTACAGAAGGTGTGAGACAAAAACCAACACAAACCAAAGCACGCGAGAGAAATGCTCACGGACGGTTTAACTTTAACATTTTATTTTGTGTAAAAAAAGGGCAAATTTAGTGAATTATTTTCATACTGTACACAAAGTTATAATTTTAATACTTTTCACATCCATGCTGAAAATTTGCAATTTGGTAAAAATGAAAGGAACATAAATTTCTCCAAAGGAATTTTTCACGCCATTTTATATATATACACTTCATGAGACAGTTTCAAACACTTTCTCAATGATCACGAGTTACCAAGAAAATAAAAGATTAAATTTGTACAGATATTGATCTATATATCAGATACATACAGAAATGATGTGAAAACCTTATGCAGTTTACTTTGACCTCTGTCCTCAAAAGATTTGCCCAGGGACAGATACTTTTGTATAAATGACTGTGGCTTTATTTAAAATATGAAAATCAAAGGGAGAAACCCAGTTTAATCACAGTATTTTAAAAATCCCTTCCCAATATTAAAGGATCATTACCAATATATAGCACCATAATACAAATATTGATGGGAGAGGGTATTCACATCACACAAAATTAATAATAATAAAAACAAACACTGAAAACTCATGCTAGTATCCATAGAATAAGAAGTTGATAACAGCTTTAGCTTTCTTCATACACAGCAAGGAAAAGGTTAAAGAGTTTAAACTACCAAAAGTCCTCAAATAATCCTAACATGTAAAAAAAAAACAAAGAACCCAGAAACAAACCCAAGGTCAGCAGTATATTTTGAACCTTAAGAGAGAATGGGGCTACTGAGTTGTACACTTGGAGTTATGGCTAAGACAGAAATCTCCTCTGCGCTGACTTCTGTTCTGTTCTGCAGCAGGAGGAGTTCGAGTATGAACAATGAAGAGGGCTTCCGGTTGTGTGAGACTGCAGACAGTGCTTACCAATCTTGACCTGCTGGCCACAGGATCAAGACACAACACTTCATGAACAGGTGGGAAACTCTAAAACACTCAGTGCCTGGTTTTGCTGTAGAACTGGAAGCTTATAAAACCTGGCTACAGATGAGCTTTCACAGAACTGATAACTAGGACTGTCTGGCTCCGAATCAGCTCTCTCCTGGTTTATTCAGTTCCCCGCGGAGTCCCCAAGCCCACGGGACTAGTAGAGTACACCGAACCACAGGCTGCGTGTGCCTGGGTCATGGAGTCAGAGTCCTGGGCTCAATTCCGTGAACTTAAGAATAAAGACTGCAGTAACCCTTGCTGTGGACGCTTCTAGGCTTTAGGTTTAGGGGAAGAGTCTTCAAAGTGATAGATTTGGGAAGTGTGAGGATGTCACATTTACAGTAGGTCCCTCTCAGCAATGTTGTTTAAGATAAATATCCAGTAATTGGACAGCTGAATTCACATATATTTGTGTGAGGAGAGTGAAATTATATAAGGATTGGGTCAAGGTGCTAGCTCCGTCCCTATTTTGACCTGAGTTACATAACATGTTGATAATTGGCCCTACTCCCCTCCTAGTGCCTGGACAGGGGACTAAGGAAGACCATTTGTCTTATGAAGATATGAGAGTCAGACTCAGTCCAGCTCAGGATCTCTGGCCAGGATCTGGGGTTGTGAACGGATAATGACTTTTATGTTATAAAATACATGTTATGAAACCAATGGGCTCAGTACCACCTTTGTTTAAAAACACTAGAAAAGGGAAAAGACCCTGGGTTAGTGAGAGAGAAAGAATCCCGAGTGAGCTCCATGCCCTTATGCTGGGAAGATTGACGCCCGTGATGCTGTTTGGGAAGTTCCTCAAACTCCGGTGCTGACAGATGGACTGCAAAGGGTAAAATCTCTAATTGCTGAATGTGATTTTGTCTGCTTATGAATTATGATTTGGTCTGCTATTGTCTCTTCCCGTCTCTTCCCTTTTAATAAATCTTTCATCTTCATACTTTTCTGGTGTGAGTGTACGTTTTGTTCAGCGGATCGATACCATTAAATTAAAGTCCGTGCACGGCATCAGTAATTAGTTTTCCTTAATGTGACAATTTGACACATGAGCATCAATCAACTTGCATTGATGTGATTCTGCATTTATGCCCCTAAAGAGTCAGTATTAAGAAATGGTGACATGCGATTCCATACATTCTTACACTATAAAGTAACAAATTTTACTTCTAGTAGCTATTACAAAACTTTATGTTATTAACCCCTCTTGCATAGAATGAGGTAAACCTGTGTGTATTACCAATGCTATTATTCCCAAAAGTAGAACAATATTTTAGAAAATAAATTGCTGGTTTTTAACGTTCTATGCATTTTAAAATTCAAACAAAAATCTTAGCTAAAATGGTCTCCTGGGGCTTTTCTATGAACTTTTTTTAAAAGCATTCCATAGGCTGACGGACTTTAGAGGTTAATCATTTTGATTAATTTCTTATTAGCCCGACCTATATTCCAGAGGAGATGGTCATTACCACTCTGAAGAGGCCAGGCTAAGACCCAGAAGTACTTCTAGAACAGATGCAATTAATTCCTGAGAGTTGAGTTTATGAACCTCACTGGTAAACGCTAGAGCGCTCTCATTCAGTCACAACTCAGTAGAAAGTTAGAAAACACAGAGAGCAAACCTTTCATCTATGTACCCTTGGATCCTTTTCTTAAAAGGAAGCCATGTGAATTTTAAACAGGGAATGTTCGAAATGGTCCAAATCAGTCATTATTAAAATAAATTCTGATAATTCATATATATATATATGGAATTTCAAGAAAATTAAATTCTCTTTCAAATTAGTTTTCTAACAAATCCAGGATAGTTAAAAGCTGAACTGGAATGATTTTGAAACCTTATTCTGGCTTTGAACAACTGTCACTTTGATTCTCCTGGTAACACAGAACACCTGTGTTTTGGGGTGTGGATATACCCAGTTGTTATCTCACAGCTGGAGGGAAATGGCCGAGAACTGATCAGAATACCTTTTGTGGGTATTTTTTTAGAAAGTAAAATAAAATAAACTTAGGACAATATTGCATTTTCTCCAACCCCTTGGCATGTAGACTGAGATCCAGTGTATCTTGTCAACCATTCCAGTTTTAACACTTTAGTGTTAGGATAATTTTAGTCTTTTTTTTTTTTTAATTAAAAGAGAACATAGAAAAGTATCTAAGAGGTCTTCCAGTTTCATCTAGAACTCCAAATAAATTTTCACAGAATGAAAAACATTTCTGTACAAACATTTAAAATGGGCTGCAATAAAATGCCAACAAGCAGAATTAATGACCCCTTTCATGGTCTATGTGGTGATGAACCCTCCAGGAGGGTTCAGTTGCATATTTCTGCAGCAAAGAAGCTGGAGATGTGACTGGCCTAACTTTAA